CTCTCCCTCTCCCCCTTTCCCCCTCTCAAACCCCCTCTTCCTCACCCCCTCTTTCTCTACCCTGCAATCTCATCTATAGGGAACGGCTACAACATCAAAACATAACAGTCCTTGCCTTCATTGCACTCTTGAGACCACGTCACCATGTCATGTGCCTAACTCAAGGCCAATGAGCCACAAGAGAATAATTTTATCCGGCCTGCGAGAAAATTAATTTAATTTTAGTATTGTAGGTGGTCCATCCAAAGAATCTCTATAACATGGAACATTACTCGAAACAGAAACGATTATAATTTTTAGTCAAAAAACATGCCAAATCATTCAGCTCTGACTTGATTACCGTACTTGATTACTTGATCCTGGGAACAACATCATAGCACTCCAGACATTGCCATACGTGCCCCGCTCCCCGCTCCAATATCCACCCAAGAGTCCATCTGCTCTGACAAATTGGCATAACAGCGAAACTTTTAAAGTCTTGATTTGTACTTATTTCAATCATTGTCTGTTTTAACTCATAACCATTGTAGGCCCTATAAAAAAGGTTTAGTTTCACGCTCCTCAATATGTGTTTATCCAGTGTGACCCGATACATTCAGTGTAATTTTAGCTTGACACATCTGAGCTAATGAGTTTGGCACTGTTGCTTTAGATGGTTTATTTGAGACATAATTTGTCATGTAATATAACATACTTAGGTATTAGGTGGTTGGCGCTCATATGACCTTATGCAGTTGCGAGCGCCGTAAAACCTCTACTAAAACTAAACTAATAGTTTGGTGCTTCTTGGTTAAGAATCAATGAATGTCGGCTAGAAATGCCTTGTTGGCGTGGTCATAACGCACTTTTGGAAACTGAGATTTGTTCTGGGAACAATTTATTCTCCTCCTTCTCTTCCCCTTTGTCGTTCTCCACTGTGTCATTCTCTTCCACCCCCGGCCTTAAACCAAGTACCTATCATTCTAACAGAAAAAAAGGAAACTGAGATTTTGTTCTTGGAACTACCAATTAATCATTTCTCCTCCTTCCCCTTCTCATCCTCTTCGTCGCTCTTCCCGTCGTCACTCCCCTCTCCCCCTCCCACCCGGCTAACATCCCAGGTCATATCATTCTATTAGTATAGAAAGTAACACCAGCAAGACACTTTTTTTTTGAGAGGTTGTTTTTTTTTTTTG